GTGTCTGTGCTTGGGATTGCCCTGATCCAGGCACTCAGCTGGGATACTCAACTTGCTAAAGCCTTTTCCTCAATGGAAAAACTAAGTTTTACTCCTTAAATTAGGAGTACTAACAATTTTCTTAAAACTTGCAAAGATTTATCAAGTGGAATTGCAATTAGCCAGTAAAGTTTAAAAAAAAAAAAAGGAATGTGGGATAAAAGTTCATAACAAAAAGAGACCTAGGCCTCTGCTAACATCCCTGCTGAAAAAATAAAGATGTGAACAGTCTCATGGAGCTAAAAATAACTACTTGCACCTCACTGCAAATCCATGTGCATGTTTTCACAAAATCGAGGTCTCACCTTCAGTATATAACTCCAGCTGACAAAACGCAGTCCCACGTCTCACATACGCTTTTACTCGAGCATTCTCATTGTCAGGAACAGGTGGTGTCAGCAGCTCTAGTGCCTTTACAAATGAAAACATTGAGAGGTAGATTTTCAATCATTTTGGGTTTGGTTTTTTCATTTACACACACTTCTCTCACCTAATTAGTATTATTATACAGTAACATAATAAATATTCAAATGGAGATAGAAAACAACTATTCAAATTTAACTACATGGCATGTGATTCTAGTCATTAAGATTTGTGTCTGTCCCCACAGTTTGCTATATACAGTTACATTGCCATGGCTAAAACCTGACAAATACTGTGTTAAATGTTTGTTACAGTTAAATCACATATTCTGTTTTCATACATGATATTACATACCATGCTACCAAAAAACCCAAATGCAGCCCTAAAGAAACACATGTGTTGTAGTAGTAGTTCTTAGAAAAAACCCTGAAGTTTCAAGCCTCAAGTACTTATTAGTTCAAAAAAAAATAATTCTGGAAAACTTTCTCCAAATTATTCAGGTGCCTTTGCCATGCTATTTGCCACTCCTCTCTCATTGCACAAATGTCTGCTAAAACATCAAGATGATACAGCCCTTCTTTAAAAATGTCTGGTTTGCTGGGGTTTTTTTTAAGGTATCCTTCTCCTCACCACCACCCATTTTTTTCTTCCCACCAAATGAAGAACACCACAACATAATACAAAAGATATCTGTGTATATTATCTTTTTTTTTTTTCTGATCAAAGTTGTCTTTATTTTCAAGTGTATATACTGCTACAATATTTTACCTGTAAAGAAATGTATACTGAGTCAATATATGTCCATTAGTCCCAAATGTGTGGAGGCATGGTTTGAGGGGTTTGTTTCAGTTTAGATTTCTGAAAGTTCATTAATCAATCACTATCAAATTTTACTATTTCACCATGGCTTCCTTATATCCATTTTGAATTTAAAAATTTTGAATCACACTAATACATATTTACAGATCTGCTTGAACCAGAAGCATCACAGTAATAAATCCCAGTCATGTATAAGACAACAGTCTGAGGACCTATGTATTTATACCTTAGAGGAGTCTTCAATAGCTTTATGAAAATTTCTCAGTTTAAGGTGGCAAGCAGCACGATTCAGGTACAGCAGGGGAAGCTTATTGTTCAGCCGCATGGCGAGGTTATATGCATTTACAGCTGCAAGGTAGTTTCCCATGGCAAACATTTTGCTAAGTATAAAACACAAAGTGAAACGAGCACTTTAAACCAAGTGATAAATCAAAAATAAATACCTACTTATTGTTAACAATTAATTTTCAAAAATTTGAAGTTTTAGCAGCTTTTCCTTAGAAATGGCCATTTATAGCCTTTTCTGAGAACAATAGAGCTGAGGTTCAGTCAAACTTGAGGCTGATGGTAGAGCATATAGACACACCTTAACCAAAATAGTCACTGCTTAAAAGCAATGAAGAACAGTCAGAGGCGGACACATCTACGCAGACACAGGACTAATTTTGAAAGCTATATATCTGATTATGACTGCCTGATCACATCTTTCTGTGTAACACAGCTATACAAACATACCACTACCTCCATCAAATTCCTAAAGTTTGGTTTAGACAGATGTTTAACCTCTCAATAAAAAGTACAAATGAAAGGAAATCCAACTAGGTATAACATTGCATTGGCTTAACTGTCCTCATAGAAGAATAAGCATTAATATGCATTGTGAACACGTAATATATTATGTGTTCACAATGACTTTGTCCATCATGAGCTTCGGCAATTGCATCCCATGACTTTATCGCATTCGAACCCCATAAGCTGTCAATAAATTCTCTACTACACAGGCATTCACCATCTGTGTCTAGGATAAATAGAAAATATCAAAACTAAAAAACAAGACACACACTATATAACTAATATTTAATTTTATATATATCTTGAAATGGAATCTAACTTACTTTCCTTTGTCCTTCAACCAGTCTGGATTCTTCTCCTCTTCTCTTAAATCTTCCAGCTCAGACAAATCAGCATTTGCTGTTCTTCGAGCTTCTGCTTGTTTACGTAGCCACTGTAAGTATACACGTGCAAGTATTATTTCTGAAGGATGAGTCAAACCCAGAAAAGGATTTTGCTTTCATCGCTTCACTCACTCCTATCAAAAGAGTTCTGTCTGCCACATATGTTGGACAGAGAGAACTATTTAATAAGCCAGATACTAAAAATGTCAAAGTTTCCCCAAATATTTCATTATTATGTGAGAAGTAAGGTTACTGCATCACTAATACATTTTTCTTTGCTTGTTTGTTTTGGAACTTCCAAAATCACTCTTTGTGTTCACTCAGTTCAACTCAGGAGGACTACAAGGATGTCATGAGGTTATGCAGGGAGAAAATCAAAAGGGCCAAAGCCCAACTAGAACTTAATCTGGCTACTGCTGTGAAAGAAAATAAAAAATGTTTCTATAAATATATTAGCAAAAGGAGGGTGAAGGAGAACCTCCATCCTTTATTGGATGTCGGAGGAAAACATAGTGACAAAGGATGAGGAAAAGGATGAGGCACTTCTTTGTCTCTTTGCTTCAGTCTTTCATAGCAAGACCAGTTGGTCTCCAGGTACCCAGCACCCTGAGCTGGAAGACAGGGATGGGGAGCAGAATGAAACCCCCATCATCCAAGGGGAAACGTTTAGCGACCTGTAACACCACTTAGACACACACGTCTATGGTGCCAGATGAGATCCACCCATGGGTACTAAGGGAGCTGGTGGAAGTGCTCACCAAGCTACTCTCAATCATTTATACCGCAGTTCTGGCTAACCAGGGAGGTCCCAGTTGACTGGAACTTGGCAAATGTGACACGCATCTACAGGAAGGGCTGGAAGGAGGATCCAGGGAACTACAGGCCTGTCAGTCTGACCTCCGTGCCAGGGAAGGTTATGGAGCAGATCATCTTGAGGGCCATCATGCGCACGTACAGGACAACCAGGTGATCAGGCCCAGTTAGCATGGGTTTATGAAAGGCAGGTTGACTAATCTGATGTCCTTCTAGGACAAGGCGACCTGCTTGGTGGACGAGGGAAAGGCTGTGGATGTTGTCCACCTGGACTTTAGTAAAGTGCCTTTGACACTGTTTCCCACAGCGTTCTCCTGGAGAAGCTGGCTGCTCACGGCTTGGACAGGTGTACTCTTCCCTGGGTAAAAAACTGTCTGGATGGCCGGGCCCAAAGTGTTGTGGTGAATGGAGTTCAGTCCAGTTGGTGGTGTTCCCCAGGGCCAGGACTGGGGACAGTTCTGTTCGATGCCTTTATCATGATCTGGATGAGCTGATCGAGTGCACCCCCAGTAAGTTTGCAGATGACACCAAGTCGGGTGGAAGCGTTGACCTGCTCGAGGGCCGGAAGGCTCTGCAGAGGGATCTGGCCAGGCTGGATCGATGGGCTGAGACCAACTGTGTGAGGTTCAACCAGGCCAAGGGCCGGGTCCTGCAGCTGGGTCACACCAACCCCACGCAGCGCTGCAGGCTGGGGATGAGTGACTGGAAAGGTGCCCGGCAGAAAAGGACCTGGGGGTGCTGGTTGACAGCCGGCTGAACGTGAGCCAGCAGTGTGCCCAGGTGGCCAAGAAGGCCAGCAGCATCCTGGCCTGTGTCAGAAACAGTGTGGCTAGCAGGAGTAGGGCAGGGATTGTGCCCCTGTACCCAGCACTGGTGAGACCACAGCTTGAGTACTGTGTCCAGTTTTGGGTGCCACAGTATAGGAAAGAGGTTGAGGTGCTGGAGTGGGTCCAGAGAAGGGCAATGAAGACAGTGAAGGGTCTAGAGCACAGGTCTTATAGCTTATAAATAGCAACACGCTATTTATTAATCTGTACAATCACATGCTTGGTGAAAATAATTTTATATAAAAGTATTTCTTTAAATCTTAATTTAAATAAGACTGCCTTCCTTGGAAGATAAGAATATTGCACGGGTAACATTCCTTGGCATAGGTAACGTTTTTGGCAACTTACTGAATACACGGTAAGTAATTGACCACTTTGGAAAACAGCAGAAGCATCATACCAGAGCAGAGAGCAACCCTCACCTCCTCCTCTTCCGCAACACGAGATTCTCGCAGAGGTGTAGGAAAAACTCGTGATGTAAAGTTGATTCTAATTGTAGCAGCGGATCGAGGAGCTGGTAACTGTTCTTCCTTTAAATTTTCTGAAAACATACTATAGGAACCATGACCTATGAAAAGAATTGGAGTACTGGAAATCAAAAATGAAGCAAGAGAGATTTTTCTGGTTTTCTACTGAAGTCCAAATTACACATAATTTAGAAATTCTGCACATTAGAACTAAACTTTAATAGCTTGAGAGAGGCTTAGACTTGTTCTTTTGAAGGGAAGGTTCAAAAAAATGTTTATTCTTGCCGTATTATGCCATCTATTTACTGGCTACATTATCTGTCACAAATGAACTTAAACTCCTCTTACACCACTACCTCTGTCACTTACATGATTCTCTGACTGGGCAACTAACCTTACCAAAACAAACAACCAAAACAAACCTGAAATATTTTGTGTTGGGTTTGTTCCCTGAATTGGCTGTCTGTAGGGCCAAGACACGAGACAGAGAGAGTGAAAGGAGACTGTGTATTTCTGTGAAAACCAACAGTTCAGTAACTCAGGGTAACATGAACTTCACCCCCACAAAGTCTGCATTACGCTGTCAGAAAGGCTTTCTGTTTCAGTTTCCTAAAGCTTAGAACAAAACCTGCCCTTGTATTTCCAAAGACTTAAGCGAGAGCTAAGAACTCACATGCTTTAGCTCAATAAATTGCCTGAAAATAAAGACACTAAAAGTAACTGCAAGCTAAAAGAATTAGTCCAGTCTGATGGAGACAAAAATAAATTACGAATTAGAAACATCCAGGAACAAAGTTATACCCACACTTTAAAGAATGATAAAACACACTTCAATAATACAACCTGTAGTAGGTTTGAGTCTGGTCTTAGAGGTTCCTTCATTAGGAATTCTAGTTTTATTCATTTTGTCCTTTTTCTTCTCCTTTAATTGTTCTACTTCTTGATGTAGTTCCCCTTCTTTTTGTACCCTGTTTTGTTTCTCAGCATCTTTTTGCTGTTTTTTCCATAACTTCAACTCCTTAGTGACCTTCTGCCGCTCCTTTTCTTTCAGATCTTCAATTCTTTTTCTTTCTGCTTCTTCTAGCTGTTTGAATGATAAAACTATGAGATATGTAACACCTGACAATAGCAAGATGACTAAGTAAAAGTCACCATTATTTTCCCAGTTTCATATCCCAAGCATAGCGTCATCATTAATGTGACCCTATAAGCAGACTTTACGAAAGATGCTTTAAAAGGATTGGCAGAGTCAAGATTTCTGATTAGCTTTTAGAAGTCATATATCTGTGAACTGTTTCACTACCGCTACTCATGTATGATCCAGAAACATTCAGAAACAAGTTTTACTTGTAAACAACGAAAATCCTAGCTGGATGCCAATGCAGATCTATGGAATATACAGAAATGTAAAATACACAGCTTCATTTTGATACCTTATTTCTTATTTCTCCTCTTCTCTTTGAGATCATTACATAGGCAGAATAGGTACAAAATTACTTCTAAGCAAGTCACTAACTGCAGTTCGTTTTGGTCCAAATTGCATGTGCAATCTTAAAATTTCATTGTATGCTCCTATTGATGACACAAACAGCACAGCAAAGATTGGAAATGGAATAATTTTCTTCACTTTGTATAAAAAAGAAGTGGCCATGTGGGATTCTCTAACTCTAGCAAATGGTAAGTTCTCTACTGTGACAAGCCTTTTAAACACAAATGAAGTAATCAGACTTTTTATATACATAAAAATTTTGAAGAATCTATCTTAAAATACACCTAAAACATAGAACGACAGATACACACACACAAAAGGCAATGAACAGAAAGTCTGATATAAAATATAACAATGAACAAATAAGATTTTTTAAAAAATCAGTATATTTGACAGTGCTAAATGACTAAACACTTGCGCTCATGCAAAGGCCACAAAAAAATTACAGTTTTGCCACATTACTGTAGTTTCCTTTCAACGGACAAAAATCTGAGCTCCTCACCAAAAATTTTTGTTAGTATTACAAATGGAAAATGGCAACTTCTAAGTATTTTTTCTGTATTGTTTCCATATTTGGTAATAAATATGTTTTAAGCACAGAGAAATAACAAGGTTCTATACCACTGCAATAAAAATGAGTATTTTTCATATTTTTTAAGTTACATTTAACCAAGCAGCTGCCAGATTAGTTGACAGTTGCATGTACCTGCCTTGCAGAGTTCCTTCTGAGCTTACCTTCATTGTAGCCTCCAAAGCGTATTTTTTGTGCTCCTGTTTTGTAACTCTTTTTGCTTCTGTCTCCTCTTTCACCTTTTCATGGGCTTTTAGAACAGCATTCTGTCTTAGACACTGCAGCTTCTCCTTGTTAGCTTAAAAAACAAATAAAAACTATATTAGCAATTTAGTCCTGAAGTTCTACTGTTACGGCCCATATTCACAAAAACAGGGGTCCTTTTGCTACTGTGTCTGCGAAAACACAACGTGGTTCAAATTCCACAAAGCAGTCTCTACCAAGCCCATCTCTAAAAGAGAAAAACTAGTATTTGCTTATGCACACAGTTTCACAAGAAACATTGTTTTATTTTATGCACACCGGAGCCAGTAGATGCTCTTTGTCTGTTTTCATATAATTTCTATTTTTAACAATTAACAACAGGGTTTAACTTAGCAGATATCTAGCAGCAGCAGTTTCACATCACTTATTATCGTTTCCAAAGTTTTGGCACAGTTTGGGTTTCCTACATGCAATCTGCCTGTCATAGTAGAGAACTTACCATTTGCTAGAGTTAGGGAATCCCACATGGCCACTTCTTTTTTATACAAAGTGAAGAAAATTATTCCATTTCCAATCTTTGCTGTGCTGTTTGTGTCATCAATAGGAGCATATAAAAACGCTTCAAACAAAAAGGGAGGGACGCTTACCTATAAAAATATAATTATTTTGTACAAGTATTTACAATTTTTACTTAAATCTCACATATTCAGCATACAGTAAACCTCAAAAAACCTGTGCTATTGACAAAATTAATTTGCTTAGTACCCAGCAGGGAGGTTATCTCTTTCATTAGACCAGATAAGAGACTGAAAAAATCAGTTCTTCGGCACCGCAGCAGAAGCCGTGGGCCTCAGCTTTAGAATTATTATTCATGCTGTGAGCAGACGTGTATAATTCAGGCCATTTGTGAGAGAAAAGGCAGCTGGCACCTACTGAGTAGCAGAGCATCAGTGCAGAGAAGGAGCCATTACCTCTAGTGGGATAGGCATTTTACAGCCTGCAGTGTACAAAGGGAGATTATAGATTAAATATTATAAAAGATTATAAACTTGACAGCGCTGCCACGGTGCATTAAGCGTGTGCTTTTTAACAGAGCTATAACGTAACGCCCAGACACAGGCCCGCGGGCGCGACAGGCAGGACAGGAGGCCCGC